ACTCCTCACAGTCAAAGGCATTCAAGCAGGGCGGGGACCCATGAGCTGGCTGGCTCTCAGGCTGGGGTTGGGGGCAGTAAGTTTCTTTAAACTCTTTATCTACTTTCTGTTACCTGTCTCCGCAGGGGGATACGCTTGGTCAGCTTGTGCACGGCCGGCTGGCTGCTGAAGTCTGGCTTCTTGGTGGTGGTCTTCATGCGACACACGATGACGGTGACCACCATGCAGACGATAAGGAAGACCCCTATGCAGTAAATGGCTATCTCCAGGTAGTCTGGGGAGGCTGTAATCTCCTTTTCTCTTATGGGCGCTGGGTCGTCGATCACAAGGAGGAGAACAGATAAGCAGGCCACACAGTTAGCACTCCAGCTTGGCTTCAGCGGAGGAATCCACAGTAACATCCACTTTCAAGGCAGTGGCCTTTCCTGCGCCTCTGCCTCTTGCCCGTAGCTGTCCCCAAAACAGTAACCCAATAACCTGGGGAGTCTCTGGCCTCCGTGGGCATCTGCAACCCAGTGAGAGGAGCTGCCACTGCATCCCAAAAGACAGGCTACTAGGCCTCCCTGGGTGGCACATCTGGGCATCAGAGGACAACCAGCTGCATGCATGGCATAAGTCCCGTCTCTCAAATTAAAAACCCCTGCAGAAACGGATGCGCACGGTACGTTTCTAACATGACGTGGACCAGGGCAGGCCCTTCCGAAGGGAGAGGCGCCACAGTGGTGGCTGTGCCCAGGTGCACCTCGGAAATGAATATTCATTAGGTAGATCAGACTATGCGTTTCACTGAGCTCTTTGAACACCGTGCAGTTATTCCATTTCACAAATCAGTGCACTTAATAGAAAGACTGAACAATACCACATCACGGTGACCATGAGATACAATAAAAAAAAAAAATCCAACGTGTGTGTATCTGGTTATTCTGTCACTACAGTTTCCTCTTAAAGGCAAAACATAAACATGACCACATATGAACACGCATAATCAGTTTCACATGCTTTCTTCCTGTCAATTGTGAACATTGGGTGTTTGTCCCTTAGCCATCAGTGGTCAATCTACAAGCAGTGTTTCCAAATTATCTTTCTCTCCAACAGTTAATGTGCCAGTACTGTCAGGCCAGTCGGTTAAGCAGTGCCGAATGGGCACTGGCAAAATGCAGCACTGCAAGTACAAGCAAGCCCGATGCAGGAGGCAACTCAACAGGTTCAAAGCACGTATTCACAGAGCAGATTCACAACCAAAGAAAAATGGATGCAATGGTATTATTTCAAGCAGATACATTTCAATCAGAAAAATACTTGCAAGACAGTCAATACTTATCAGCAGCACAGCACACAATGAATTGATCAGTTTCTATTTTACACTCTATAAACTAAAGCATGCAGGTCAGCACTGTACTCTAACGACATGGAGTTAATAACTGGAGTGGCAGGTCAGGAGCCGACACACCACAGTCTAAGCAGGTTTACAAAGCAAATGACGCATAAGCAGGCAGGTGCCTCTCAGCAGGCAGTGGTCACCAAGAGAGTTGGACCAGAAGGGAGGCAAAGATGCAGCAGCAAGGTGAAGGCCACAGGGCTTCGCTGATGCTTGTTTCTGTGGAGGGCAGAAACAGCATCAAGCCGGAGATGGCACAAGCATGCTTCGCAGAAAAGGCAACCGGAGAGTCCCTTCTACGGCCACATGCACAAGCCACCAAGTCCCAGGTCGTGCACACTGCTTCTGTACTGCCACCTTCACGGGTGCTTCTCCCTCGGCCCCGCAGGGCACACCCATTCATTTACATCTCGGCAAAAATCCATAGTGGGCCCAAAGTAATAAAGACACATATGGGATTGCGGCATAGAGGGGATACACAATGGGGAAAAAAATTACTTTGAATTTCACAAAGTAATTTGGATTTCATCGAGAGAAGAAGTGGGGGGAGGGGACTTGGCCATTTCTACATTGGCTTCACTACAAACACAGGATCCCTTCAAGTTTGAAGGATGAAATTTTACTGCCTCATGAATGAGAGTGTGAGATCTCACTCCAAGGGTACTATCTCTTATGGGGGGGCATCATTTTACTTTTATCTTTATGCAAGGATAAAAGGGGCCATTTCTGAGAACAGAAGCTGTGTTAATTTTATAGCAATCAACCAAGAAAAGGGAAAAACCCACGGAGAGAAAGAGCAGTATGTACCTGGCAGAACTGTCAACCATGCAGAGTGAAAGGATATCCCAATAGAATTACCCGCCAAGCACGTATACTCCCCAGCATCCTCAAAAGTTACATTCCGAATATAGAGAACCTCAATTTCTTTGTCCGTGGTGTTAACACCGGCAGCCTAGAAAACAAGGGAAGCAAGACAAAAGGCTAGACGACACAGGGATGGTTGCGGAGGGGGCGTGGAACCAGGAGGCATCGCGCCGGCGGCCCCAGGAGGCGCTGGCCGCCAACAGCCTCCGACTGCAGCCCATCCACAGAGCCCACAACCAAGAGACACTGAGCGCCACCGGCCAGCTCACCTGTGCAGGCCCGTCACCACCTAGACATGCATGCAACCAAACACATGGAAAAATCAACCCACACAGCTCCACGCTCCTTGGCCTTTGCTTTGGTTCGGATTGAGAGGTGCTTTGCCCAGTCTGGTGGTGCCCAGAAGGCTAGGCGAGCCGCATTCTGGTCCTGCTGGCTGCAGACTCCCACCCTTGAGAATAAGAGGGTTCCATCCACGCAGCTGGGTCATCAAGCCAAACACGGCAGCGGAGCCCAGGTGGACACCTCACATGACCACCTAGTCCTGTGGGATCCGACCAGGGTAGAAGGTTGTCATGGTTACCCGGCTCGGACCACTTTTGTTTCTGCAAAAGCATCTTGGGTTCTGTAGCCCTGGAAGAGCGTATGTCCTTGGTAATAGGAAAACCGGGCTTTTGTGTTTTTTAGTATCAACATCTGTGATCACGCCAACTAAGAAAGTCAGCCTTCTGCTTTCAGCAGCATCCAGCAATGCAAAAGGAACTCACTTCAAAACTGCAACCAAGGAAATTATGCCTTGCTGGATACGGTCTAGCAGGGGCAATGTTGCCCTAAAAATTTGAAGATGTGAATTCTGCTGCCACGGGCTCAACAGGCATGCAGGTATGTGTGTTGGGGTGGGGGTTTCAGATGATGTTAGCACGTAGTCACGGTGGGAAATATGCAGCCTAGACAAAGCCAACCAGAAGAGCCAAGTTCAAAATGGGGCGATGGTGGAGCAGTCGGAGCAAGCACTCTGAACGTCGTGGGCATTTTTCCATGGCTGCTGGCCCCACACCAGCTGCAACACCGAAGGAAGATTATCATTGATATACCAAGACCACAAGAGTTGTCCTATAAGCTGCCTGCAGCTTCCCAAAGCACCAAAGTCTTTCCGGCGCCTACATCCAGCTTCCGTTTTAAAAACAAAAACAAAAAACAAAAACGTTGTTACCTTGCTGCTTGGGCAGGACAGTGAGCCAGGCCGACTGGTTGGCCTGCCCTATATAATTGGAGACCTTACATATATATTCCCCAGCGTCCGCCTCAGTCACATTGAACAGAGCCAGCACTTCTGCATTGGAACTATTTATCCCCGAGTGCTAGAACAGACACAGGAGAACAATATAACGGCCAACCAGGAAGGACGTAGCACTGCCTATGGTCCCACCACCAACACACCACAAGAAAACAAACTCCGTTATGTCTACACAGCGGCACTCAAGGGCCTCAGATTCCAGAGGGACAAAGGAAGCCAGTGGTGGGCAATGGACATGAGCAGGGAGGATGCGATTACTGGCTAGGGCCTAAGTCAGGCCTCCCCGGGTGCGTCACCCTCTCCCAGCTCTTTGGGCCTTGGGAATGTTCAGCTGCGGAGAGGACCATGCTGGCATTGGCTAGGAGCTCCTAGACGAGTCTCCTGCAAGCCCGGGGGGAATGTCCTTTCTAAGAACATTCTCTATGAACAAGTGAGCAAGCAAGCAAAGGAGCAAGTAGGCCAAGAACCGCATGTACAGAGCCCACTGTCCCTTGCTAATATTCTGGACAGCACGTCAGGTCACACAAGGAGAGAAGCTGGGCCTGGCATCACAGCATAGCAGGTTAAACAACTGCCTGTGACGCCAGCACCTCCTATGAGCACCAGTTCTTGTCTCAGCTGGTCTCTTCCAATCCAGCTCCTGTTCATGTGCCTGGAAAAGGCAGAGAGAAAGGTGCAAGTCCTTGGGCCTCTGCCACCCATAGGGCAGACGTGGACACAGTCTGGGTTCTTGGTGTCTACCTGGCCCAGCCATGGCGGTGGTGACCATTTGGAAGTGCTTTTCTTGCTCGCTCAGTAACTCTGCCTTTAACAACAACCAAAAAAAAAAAAAAAATTTAAGACTGAAAAGGAAAGGCACTGATGCTGTCAAAGCGGGAGCTGCAAGGAACCAGACACAGCAGGAATAAAACGTTCCTTGCTCAACATCGGGCTAGTGCAGACACAGTTCCTAAGGTTTATGGCCCGCCTTGCAGAGAGATTCCAAAGAGGCAGAGATCTTTGAGGAAAAAATCCTTCAGCTACTAATATCTGAGCCTAACACAGTGCTCACAGCAAGCACGGGCACAATGCACCCGGGCCCGGGGGCCTAGAGCTTTCAAAGCTTTCCCCACAGACTCTGCTGCATTTTCTCCAGCAGCTGCCCTGCACGGGGGGTAGCACCATGACTCCCAGCTTTTACAGAGGGGCAGCTAAGCCCACAAGTCTAAGAGCATAGGCTGAGCGAGAGCTGAGCTGTCTGACTCCAAGCTGAGTCATTCTCCACCCAACCCACAATTCCCTTCTGGAACCCCATTGGCAAGCACAAGATCTTGCTTCCTCAACTGCCTATTGGCCGAAGGAGAGTCATCCCCTGCAGGATGCAACAGGAAATTAAAGCACCCGTTGGTGGCCATGCCCATTCTACTCCCCTCTTACCCCCACCCCGGCCACTGGGCACCTCCAGGTCCAGAAGGGCCTCACCTTGAGCACCTTGAGGTAGGGCGCCCCATCAGGACCGTATCTGCTGCCATTCTGTTCCACGTGTTTGATCCACTGGATGTGGGGCTGTGCGTCACTGTACACCTTGCAGACAAACTCCACGTCACCCCCCACCACCGTGGAGGCGTTGGCAGGCAGTCCTGCCTGGAGGATGGGCCGGTGCGGTGATCGCTCTGCAGAGAGAGAGGGAAGAAAGGAGGGGCAGGGGCAGGGAGGAGGAGACACCGATAAATAAGCTGTGGCATTTAGAAGACGGTCCATGAACTCAAGCCCAGAAGGCCTCCGGTCCGCAGGAGGACTCCTTTAGGATAACACGGAGGCCCCGGACAGAACAAGAGCAACTTCAAAGGAGACCTCTGACGCGCAACCCTTGCGAAAACAAGACCTACTTGGAAAATCTGGAACAGAATTTACTACATGCCGAGCTAGTGCTCATCCACAGCCAGCAGACAAGCAAAGGAAAAGATTCTGATGATCTAGAATGGTGAGGTGAGGGGGGTGGCCAGGCACTCTTCACTTTGCCTTTGCCTTACTGTCACGGGCAGTAACACACTGAGGTCCCCAAATGCAGATGCAATTGAAAGCCAAAGCCCAGTGTCACAGACCAAATTAACAACTGGATTCACGTTTTCATTGTGGAATTTATCCCACTCATTCACTCCTCCAGAGCCCCTTGATTTTTCCGACAAGTATCAAGCGTCACCATTCCCAGTCCTTAGGGGGTACAGCAGGGCAGTGCCCACACCCGGACTTCGTGGAGGAGCCTCGCAGGAGTGCTCCGAGCTCCCCTACAGCCACCACCATCCTGCCTTTCCCTCTAGGAAAAAGAATTCTCTGCACAGTACAGCTCTCAGCATTTTCAGCCTGAAGAGGTTCCTCTCTGTTAAGAGGTGGTCTCTGTAGCATCTCTCTCGTCTAAGAATTTTTTTTTTTTGCAAGGAAGAGTCATGGAGAAATAGAGGAAGAGCTCTTTCATCCTCTGGTTCACTCCCCAAGTGGCTGCAATGGCTGGAGTTGGGCGGGTCTGAAACCAGGAGGCAGGAGCTTCTTCTGGGTCTCCCACATGGGTGCAGCGGCCACCCTCCTCTGCTTTCCTAGGCCATTAGCAGGGAGCTAGATGGGAAATAAAGCATCCAGGACTCAGACCAGCATGGTCTATATGGGATGTTGGCACCTCAGGCTCTGAGGCCTAACCCTGGGTACCCCAATGCTGGCCTGCCCCCTGAAGCAATTGTGCACAGGCAATCGAGTCAACCTAACAGTGCCACACAAGCCTCCCCAGGCGTTAAGTCACATCCAGCTAAAGACCGGGCTGAGCGATTCTGTAACACACAAACAGCCTACAGCGAGCGGAAAAGATGTTCAACACCACCAAGCATGAATTTTGCAAGGAAATGCAAATCAAAACCACGAGAGAGGACCCATAGCTACCAGCACCTGTCCAGGTAAGCTATTTTACAAGGAAACATGGGAGTGGATGTGGTGGTACAATGGCTTTAACTGCCCGCCTGTGATGCTGCCATCCCATCCTGGAGCGCTGGTTGGAACCCAGTAGCAGAGAACCTCTGTCACTCATGAGGGACACTCAGCTGGAGTCCAGGCACCTGGGTTCAACCAGCCCAAGCCCCTGCACCTGTGGTCACCGGGAAGTAAACCAGTGACGGAAGATCTCTCTCTCTCTATCTCTCCCCCACCCTTTCTCTTCTTCTCTGTGGCTCTGCCTTTCAAATAAACAATTACAAATCAACTCATCAATCAATCAATTGATAAATAAAGGGTTGGCAAGGGTGGGAGACACTGAAGCCCTGCAAACCCTTGGTGAGAATACCAAATGGCACAGTCACTATGAAAAGCAATATGGAGGTTTCTTCAAACATTAAAAACACAACCACTGCAGGATTCAGTACCTAGCACCTCTAGGTACTGATCCAAAAAAGCTGAAATCAGATCGGAGCTATCAGCACTTCCATGTCATCACAGCATTTGCCACAATACCTAAGATAAGGATGATTGGACAAGAGGAAGCACCACCTGTTCTTGTGTGGTAGATCCACGTGAAGAGACACAGTCAGCTTTCAAGGGGAGGGCCATCTTGCACACAGGTGAGCCTGGAGGACATTATGCTAAGTAAAATGGAGAGACGAGCACTGCACAGGGTGCCTGCATCAGGCAAACTCAGAGAATCGAAGTGGAATGGTAGCTTCCAGGGGCTGGCAAAGGGGAGACTAGAAGGGCGCTGGTCAAGGGCATGGAGTTTTGGTCATGCAAGGTAATCAAGCCCTAGAGTGCTGTGCGCCTGCCCACAGCCCCCATCAGCATGGTCACACCCCAACATCTCAGCAAGGATCTTGTGTCAAGGGTGCTTACAATAGTCAAACAAAAGAAAACATAGTGTAAGTAACAAAATTTAAGTAGCAGACCATACTGTCACGCAATCTGGTCCTCAGAAGCATGATACTTACACAGTGAGGGGTTTGTTTGTTTTTTTTTTTTTAAGATTTATTTATCTGAAAGATGGCAGGGTTACAACATACACACACATGCACACGCACATGTATACACACACACAGAGCAGGCTGGGGGAGGAGATTCCATCTGTTGGTTCACTCCCCAAATGGTTGCAAAGGCTGGGGCTGGGCCAGGCAGGAGCCAGGAGCCTCCATCAGGATCTCCCAAGGGGCAGGCAGGTGCCCAAGCACTTGGGCCATATTCTGCTGCTTTCCCAGACATGTCAGTACACAGGTGGATGAGAACAGCCAGGGATCAAGGTGACTGGCGTTCATCTGGGATGCTGGAATTGGAGGCGACAGCTTAACCTGCCGTACACGTTGGCAGATAATTACAAACTTACTGGAACCTTCTTACATTTCTGTCAAGAGCTACCCAAAGCCAACCATCAGGCCATTCACAGTTTCATTCCGAATGCCTGAGAGTGCCAGCCATTCTGTCTCGCTTCCTCCCCACTGTAGGGGTACCGCTGCTTTTAGCTTCCATCTAAAAAATAGTGAAGCAAAAGGAGGTGAGCCCAGCCAGCCCGACACACCCAGGATGTGTCCACTTTGCACCTGGGGGGAGGCCCACTGGCCTGGAAACAGCACACACCCCGACAGCTAGCTGAGCCCTTCTCTATTGGTCTTTCAGATTAAAATATCATTGAGTGGAATGTGCTGGACAAGAGCCAGACCATGTGCAAATTGATTTTACTGCACAAGCCTGCTGCTGGCCTTTCAAAGAAAGAAAAAGCACTGATGGCTTCTCTTAGCACGCCACACTCTGGAGTCTCCCGGTGCTTCGGACACCTGCCTTTCCGTGTTATGGTGATAAGGATTTCAGAGCCCCCAAAGAAGTCATTTATTAGCCCCAATATCACCCACGGATGCTGGGGCAAGAACCCACAAGACTTCCTGCTGTGGGCAGAAGCACCTCAAAGCTGGGTCCTTCCCATCATCAACTGAAGTCTTGGTTCTTTGGTTGTGACGCTGTCTCAAAGGTGACCACAGCGAGCATCCTGGTGAGGCCTACGTGTCCACAGGTGCTCAGTGTGCTGCGGGCAGTGAGCACACTCCAGGCTGCTCCCCACTGGTCCATCCACATGGGCAGGACAGAGTTAATGCCCATCTCCTCCCCTCTCCTCCCCAGGCCTCCTACCAAGAATCCTAGCAGCATGAGAGGAAGCTGGCCTTTAGGCCAACACCGCCAGCCAAGTCCACAAAATACACTCTTTCGCATCTCAAGTAGAGAAGCTCACTTCTTCCCGCAGAAAGTAAAACAAAACAGCCTTTAGGTATCAATTCCTTCCCTGGCTTGGTTTCCCAGTTTTATACTCATGTGTGTATGTGGGCTACTCAGTGTGTGTGTGTGTGTGTGTGTGTGTGTGTGTGTGTGTGTGTGTGTGTGTGTACACGTGTGCAAAGATAAATATTTACAGCGGATCTAGAGGTCTTGTCACAGCAACAAAAGCACTATAAAACCTGAAATGTCGTAGGCCAGATGAACAGAATTTCAAACCAAGTCGACTTTCTTAAACACACTGGTTTCTAATAAATGGTTTCACAAGCAAACATTGTACATGTAATACCAAATAACGACGCCCCTAAACAAGGAGTGCATTCATTCGGCCGGCCGGCGCTGGCCTGCGCCAGCCTTGAGCAGGGAGTGCAGCCACTGGGGTAACACTGCCAGGGCCCCGCACAGAGCCGCAGTCTTGTTTTATTTGTGGCCACACTGCCGTGGAGCTCTAGCTATTAAGTTATTCCATCGCTATCTGGCTGTTTTCACAGAAGGGGTGGGGGCTGAAAACCTCTGCACCGGCTAAATGTTATTGCATGTGCAAATGACAGCACGCCCCACGTGCCCCACGTGCAGGCTTCAAGGCGTACGATCAGACAGTCTCACCTTAACTAGAATAACCTCTTAGCCCCCCGCCCCCACCTCCCCCCAGCCGTTTCTCACTTTGGGTACAGAAACTGCAAGTGAGATCGCTGCTCAGAGAAACCGTACACCGCCTTCCAAAACTTCTTACAGCTGCCTTCGGCATACGGTGAAACCTTAGAGCATGTTATTTAAAAATGTTTCTTAAAAGTCGGCAGGCCTCGTGTTTCGACTTCCTTTGCAACCTTACGCTCAGCCCTCACACCAGTCGGAGGGGAGGAGGCCCACACTTTTTGGAGAGGGTCCCAGGCGCCCATGGCTGCGGGAGAGGGTCCCAGAGCCCACGGCTGCGGGAGAGGGTCCCAGAGCCCACGGCTGCGGGAGAGGGTGCCAGATGCCCACGGCTGCGGGAGAGGGTCCCAGACGCCCATGGCTGCCGTTGGCGGTTTTCGCCATGGCGCTTCTTCCCTGCATGTTCCCAGAGCCCAGGTTACTCTGCTGGTACTCCTGTTCTAACTGCCGAGAAGCCAGGGTGAAAGGGCTGAAGCGAACGGCTGACGAGCAAGCTTGGCTGGGCAGAACGGGCAGCCCTCCTGGGCTTCCCAGGAGGCACCCAGGAAGAAGGTGGAGGCCAGGGGGACAATGGCCACAGAGGCACGGCCCACAGCCTCGGCAAGGCCCTGGCAAACCAAACCAAAACCCCCGCGTACACAACCTTCCACAGCGGCCAACGTGCAGAGGGACCTGTCCGTGGAGCAGAGCCATGGTCAGCAGACCAAAGCTCGGTGCTGGCTCCGGTTCT